CGTCTACTTTCCCGATTGGTCCACTTGTTTTTCCCGATTCGTGTATTTCCCATTTCGTCTACTTTTGGAAGTAGACAAATAGTAAAAGTGGACCGATCGAGAAAGTAGACCAATTGTACCGAAGGGGAATCAGGCCATAGTCTGCCACACTGGGCCAATGCCGATTGGGGACCTCACACGTTTTCCGACGCTTATGAACCTTCTTCGACGTGCTGGTTTCATAATTTCCCGTCAAAGCTCAAAGTAAATTTCAAATTAAATTTCACAAAAACTCAGAGGTTCGAGGTCGAGCTCGGATTCAAACAGACTCTGCTTGAAACGCTAGTGGTTAAAAGTTACAAAATACGGAAAAACATAAACACATGCATTCCTTATATTTCAATAGAGGGCGCAATGCTTATTCAAATAGTATTTAAGAGCTCTTCAAATGTAGTCATTAACCCTTAAAGACATAAAATAAAAGTTAACTTGTTTTCTGTAATTTTCTACAAATGTAAGTTACGTCACTGTTTCACCGGACGTAACGATTTTTTTTTTTAGATAATATGTACTACATTGTTGTAGTCCATAATCTCAAAAACACCTAAAAATCAGGAAGATGGCATATACAATATAACTGAGGCATACTTTTTTATATCAATCTCAATATTGTTATCTTCTAGATGTATACAAATAGATAATAAGTATAACTTAGATATAAAAGAAAAGATATTATTTTTATGATTTTTCCTTATTTATTAATTAAGTCTTGTTTTTTATTTGTCTGCTTATAAACTATGGACTCTGCAAATATGAGAATAAGCCCAAGAAAAAACGACCTTTAGGGTTAAGAAACGGTGTGTCATTTATATTAAATGATGAATATCACCCTTACGCACCTCTAAGTCCAGTAATCTTTCTATAAGCACTAAAATGTTCTAAATACTGATATATTGTATCAATAGGAGTGTATATTTCGTTCATTCTACCAAGAAGATGTTGCGGAGGTTGTACTGGAATGGGCGGGCCCAGGAGGCCCTGTAGGAATTCCCGAAGGAGACCCCATACTGCATTTGCCATTACACAGGGTCTGTATTCAATCTGAAAGGAAATTTTACTTCATATTCTTAAGGCACAGAGTAAATAAATACAGTTAAATAAATATTTAGACAAGACTACGTACTTTAAAAACAGTATACACAGCATGATCAAATATTACTTCAAACTACATTGCTTTAAATTTAAAACAAACTGCGTAGAAAATAAGTTTATAAAATGATTACAAATAATAATAATGTACCAGACAACCACAGCTATCGCGACAAACGCGCCTTCGATGAAATTGGGTAAGTTTCTGAACGGAATTAATGATGTCAATGTTGCCATATCATACAATAATGGTGAGTTTAAAAATAACGGTGATGGGAGAGAAGCCCGAATTTTAGGAGAGCGGGAGTTTATTCAAGGTGAGAAAAGTAATGAACTCAGAGAAGCTACATCGAATGTAAGTATCATGTAAGTCTAAGCAATATTATTAAGAGATGTGGGATGAGAGAGGAAAGGTTAATACGTATTAGAACTTATAGAAGGAAGCACCGACTGTTCCAATGGAGCAATCGTAGGTGGGTGCAGAACTAGAACAGAACTGAACCCCATTCATTCTGAGGGAATGACTGACAGGAATCAATTTTAAGAAGTTTATTTTCAAAATTGGTCTTTTTTATAGACAATAAACACAAGCTTTGCCCACATCTTACCTGATGTTAAGCAATGATGACTTACTATGGTGTGTGTCTAATACAGGGTTTCTTAAACTTTGTTTTCCAGTGACAGAGCTTCTCTACTTCAACTTCAACTTTTGTATCTATGGCTCCGTCGTTTTGCGTGACGATTTCGCCAACGTCAGGGTTTCAACCCTCACCACCGCTCTACATGTATTTCAAGACATGTAGAGTGGTGGTGAGATAGATTGCCGGTTATTAAAACACATTGGCGGTTATTATTCACATTGATGGTTATATATATATTTTTTTTTTTTTTAATGACATTACAACAATGTTAGAGATCGTGGGCAGTTGTCAGGCACTGACAATTGCCTAAATTGCAAAAAACCTACCTCAACTAAAATTCCTTTAAAATTCTGATTCATGGTGACTGATCCAATTTTGATGCAGAAGTCGCCCAGTTCAAACCTAGGCCCTTTACTTTCAATCTTAGTCTGTTTCTTAGACGTGTAATGTTGAGATAACTTCATCATGAGCAAGTCAAACAGGCCATCAGCTATTACGTGGATGTTCTTTGTACCACTTTCCAAAATTGAGAATACAGATGCTGGTTGCTCGGAGTTGTGGAGAATATGCACAGTTTTTGTCGTTCCTGTAACAAACTGTGAAATTTAAACGCTGTAAATGCAGACAGGTAAGTGTAAATAGACTAAAGATCTTGGTAAAAGAAAGATCTTTATCTGTCCGATAAGTCCATCTCATATAACTTTTAGATTATGAACAAGTATGAGGTAGCATTATGTTATTTATTGAGTAATGTATATACAATTTTTCCTTCTGTTTTTATTACATACCCATCTGTGGTGGTGACAGATAACTTTCGCAGTCCACCAGAAACTGGCCTTGTTGTAAAGCTCCCAGAGCTAGGAGACGTTTGGACAGCAATTCTATAACATATGTTCCTGTCTTGTTTTCCGGGACAGGATATTGCTGTAAGCTGTAATAATAACAACAGTAAATGTAATAACAGCGCCACATTATCATACCAACTTAACAAAGCTTTTTAAATCGCTCCTGGAGCTGAATTCCACACATTCTAAATTTCTAGAACAATAAGTATTCACATGCCTTATCAACGATTGTACAAATTCCTTGGATTTGACTTTTTATAGAACTCTATTTGCTTAGGAATAGCATTTTACTTACACTGTAACTCCCATGTTTATTTTATTCCCATACGTATTTGGATAAACGTATAGGTTAGAAATTCATTATCTCGACTCAAACTTTCTATAATAATCGTCGTAAAACTTCGAAATTACAAGTGTTCAAGTATTAGAACAAACATACAAAGTACTTTGTGGAACAAACAAATAATACGAATATTATGGAAACTCTACATTCTACACAGATAACACGAAAACAGTTTCCCACTTCACTGACTTCACCACCAAACCAAAGAGAATTTAAGCACTACGTTCACCAAACAAACAAAAAACGTTTTGTTGCAATAATCAGAATCAGAATATTTGCAAAAAATAGCAATACTGACATATTATGCGTTTTGTTTCGTTTCGCAACCAAATCGAGTAAAAAAAAAAACTGAATCTGACCTTTGATTGGATAAGTTTTCTTAACTATGTTTTATCAGCAATGAATATATTGCTTAAACAATCTGTCAACGTATTCGTCCAATAGTAATACAGAATCTGTACAAATGAGAACAATAATTAGAGTCACAAGTGCGTGTTGGACCAATGAGTATTCGACAGATAATTTTAGTAAATTGTCAAATACGGGGGCCTCATCCATCATTGTGTAGTATTTTATTTACGTAAAACCAATTAATTTGGCCATTTATTTCTTTAACTACCGGATCAAAGCTTCACATAGTTAAAACATTTGTGGGTGGGTTGCGGTAGCTATAAATTTAAATGCCGATAATTGTTTAAGAAATAGGCATTTATTTGGTGTGTTTATTTTGGTGGTGACAAATTTTCAAGTATAGGTACTCACTGCGCTTATCTAACGCGAGTGGTAACAATTGGATGATTGAAAATGATACCAGATAATGTGACGTTGATTGTTAAGGCTCCAAATCAACAGATTGAAGACCAGAACATAGAATGCCAATCCTCATGGACCGTAAGGCAGTTGAAGGGACACCTTTCGGAAGTTTATCCCAGCAAACCGGTAGGTATTTTGTTATTTATCTGCTTAGAGTAATTCTGCGCAGTTTTGAGTAAGTTTTATGTGAACTTCTTAAGCATAAATTGTATTCCTTAGATTTAACTTTAAAAAAATGTACATTCATTTGTATCTGTAATTTAAAATGTACATTCAATTGTATCTGTAATTTCGGATATATGTTCTTGCGGCCTAGATATAGCGTTTTGCTCTTACAGTAAATAAATATTCCTAAGAAATATTCTTAGTTTCCGCTTTAGGAACAATTAATGTCGTAACAAGCACAAATTTTGATTATAATTTGCCTGTTTGTAATTGTATTGTTGTTAGAAAACACTAAAATTTTTTAGATGATGCAATATCTCGATTTTTACAATTTTACAAATGCAAATTGATTATTTCATGGTGCAATCACACCCTTCATGGCTCAATTTGAAAACCCAGCTACACATTGGAAATAAATAAAAAAAACTTTATATAGATTGTTACAGTTTGTAACAAAGGTAAAGTTTATCACTGAGTGGATCCGTAAATATGATAACGATCCAAACAGACTATATTTATGACAAATACTTAGATTACTAAAATAAAAAGAAGTATTGTGTCAATTCTTCAGGGAAGGAAAGGCATAAAAGCAATTTTATCAAATTTATCTAGCGATGTCATTGGATTACATTTTCTAGAACTTCATCTGTTCACCTGAGAAAATATTTTTGAACATAAAATGAAAATATTATGTAAAAATAGCCATAAAAATTAATAAAGATATCGCAGTTATACTGGGAAAAATAATTATTTCACAATATTGATTTTGTTCATCAATTGAAATTTCTATGATGATTTTTTCTTGGGCGTATTATTGGGCAAATTGGTAATGGTGGTTCCACATTTTATGTTTTACTGAAATTTGACAATGTTTGCATTTTACATAAGTAATTTTGTCATGTTATCCTAAATAAGTCATTTTCTGTGAAAATTCCAGATGATTGGTTTTCGCAGTATAATGACGATATGAACCAAAACCTTTATTTAAACCTTTATTTTATGTTTTCACGTGGCTTGCAACTTTGTAGTTAGGCTTTTATTATGCAAGTGGAGAAAATGAAAAATGCCTTCCCAGATTTGGAGTATTCTCTAAATACAGTGGATAAATAGTCTCTGCTATTTCATTCTGCATGACAATATGTTTCTATGTGTTGAAATATAATTGAGAGGAAAAAAAAAATTATTTGGTAACCTTAGTCTAATAAAAAAATCTAAATTATTGTATATTCTTCATTGCTCCGAATAAATACACCACAGACAACCACAAATTACACCCAAACTCACAAGAGAAATGAATCTAGGCCATACAAATATTTATCCCGACCCGGGAATCAAACCACCTGAGACCTCTGCGTGGCAGTACAGTATGGTAACCGGTTGGCCACAGAGGCGGTTGAATCTCTAAAAGAGATCTCTTCCAGCCAACCCAGGGCAGTGAGAGCTAAGGTTGTAAGCGGGCAACAGTGTGCAAGTGTAAAACAAATTAAAATAATGAAATGCAAAATAAAAATTATTACATTTGAAATGTGACCAAAATAGTCTCCATTCAGGTTTTTGTAATAAGATGTGGGAAAACACGTCATTACAATGGTTTTTACTGAAGGGTTAATGACAAAGTTTATGTTGCTTTCAAGTTAAAAGTAGAAAAATATAAAATAAACTTGATTAGGTGCAAACTCAACCAAAATCAAAAGTACTGTGAGAGTGCTTGTAGAGACTGCCCTCAGTACGAAAAAGGGCACAATTGCTGTATAAAGTACGCATAGTTGTGCCTTTTTTCATTATGAGGGCAGAGTAGGTGGGGTATAATAAATTCAAAACTGATTGGGCATGTATTGTGCTTGTAAAGTGTTCTCATGTATTTTTGCTTGGGACATGTAGCAATGTCAGTAGTAACGCACACAGGCGTCAGGCACAGCACAACTACCAGTGCTGTTGTTAGGCACTTGGGTAACTAGTAAAAATTTCATAAAAGATAATTTGATAGAGACAATTGGCTTATAACAATGTGTACTTTTAAATACACATAAAATCCAAAAGTACTGTATACATGTAACAAGGTCCAGCTTAAGGGGTTAGTCAAAATATACTTCATCCAAAGACTTCAAAATATACTTCATCCAAAGGCAATATGGAGTTTTGTCAGCTATGCTTCTCACACACCTATTGCTTCCTCCACATGCTTTAGTTTTTTCATATTTTTGGTAATTAAATAATAATAATAATAATTTATTTTTGGACAGCGTAAATTCCTCATTAGTAAATTATTCAAAACTTAGATCGAAAAAACTACTAGGTTCCTCATTAGAGGTCCCTCCATTTTAAGGATACTATTGTACTATTACGTTATTTGTTAAGAAGAGAAGCTATTCTCTTCTGTAGTCCATCAGTGGAGTGCGTAAGTCGGCGCTTCTGCAAACATTAAATATGCGCTACAGAACCTTGGACTTCCGCAATTGCATCCTAAAAGCATTGAGTGCAGAGAACAATTTATGATGTCTTTGTATGTCAATTCCACAGGCTTTGGCCAATTGGTCGTTTGGCAATTTGGCCTGGCATCCATATTGTGGTTGAGATGTGTGTGCCAATCAACCTATCCCCACAAATCTGTTTATATTCAGTCTATAAGTTTATGTTATTACTTTACTAACATTTATCTTTACAAACCATAGAAGCAATTTTTTTTTATGATGGTATATGATAATTTGTCCACACTGTTGATCAGTTGATCAGACAGTTTACACCTTAGTCAATGCATCATCTTTCAGACCACAATGCTCTCTAATATACTAGAAAGTTATTTGCAATTCCTTGTTTTTTCTTAATTTTTGAAGCCATGAAATTTAATTTAGGCCTTCTTATGTAAGAATTTTAGAAATTAAAAATACAAATTAGCTATAATTGTGTTTCATGTATTAATTCTTGATCCATTGGATCTAGAACACCGCCAACTGACAGTTATCTGACACCGCTTATATACCTGCAATCGTTTCTCAATGTTATTAAAAGGTAGTAAAGGTGTTAAAACGAAAAAAAGGTTTTTATGATGTAACACTTCAATTATCAAATTCTTTTGCATAGAAAAGTATATCGAACAACCGTGATAAGGGTTATAGCCAATCAATTGGTGTTTTCTGCTTGTTACATACTGTATTTTCTTTTACTCAACTATTTATGTACCAATCTACATGTTTTCTTGTATGTTAACTTTGGGTTCTGACATTGTCATGCTATTATTGAGATATATAGTGGTAGTAGATTTCTTTTTTATTTAAAATAGGTACACAGTTGCCTACAATTTTACCTGATGTTAGGTGATTAGATGGTTAGTTGATTAGATTAGATGGTTTGAAAAGTCTGTGAAATGGGGAGGACCCAATTGAGTAATTTGCTCTTAAACTTGTATTTATTATGTATGTGTATAGGCGCCTATTATTATTTTTAATCAAGTGGACTCTCTGTATGCTGGTTGGGTTGTTTAAATATGTTTACATTCAATTTGTTTTTACTATTAGTATTATTATATGCGGTATTTATTTTCATTTAATAAATGTAATTATTAATATTGTTTTGCTTTGTTACCTAACTCACATATAATAACAAATATATCCTTTTTCTTGTTACAGAGAACAGAAGAACAAAAGATAATATACTCAGGACAACTGTTAGAAGATAACACAATTCTAAAAGATGTGTTACGAACATACGAAAGCCAAATTGCTCACACAATGCATCTAGTCTGTACACCGAGCAGAAAAATGCCGGAGCCCCAGCCTGAGCCTAACACTGATGGGTTGAGACAAAGGAACGTCGACACCGAACAGAGGCCGGTCGAGACCGCTCGACCTGAAACCAGACAGAATGATCAAAATCATACTGTGGAAATGCAAAATTATTTGAGTTCCTTTGTCAATAATTATGGCCGGGTACCACCATACCCAAATTATAATATGGGTGAGTTTATTAGCTCTGTATGGACTTAAATATTAAGCCCTACTGTTGGATAGGAGTACCTCTGAGAGGTTTAAGTCATACTCCACCATACTATACTTATTTAATCAGGCCCTTCTGGCAAAAATACAGATGCTTTATAAGGAGCATAATATTATAATGTTGTTCAATGATCGCATATTTTGTTAAGGAGTTTTTTTTAAAGAATTCCATTAGTTCCTTCCTGTTGTTTTGCTCAACTAAACTGTTAACTAATGCCAGTACTTGCTTACGTCAGTTCAATCTTAAATAGTGGTGCGAAATGTTACGTTTAGATTAATAATCCACAAGGACAGGGTTTAGTAACAGTAATCTCAAAAGCCTTTAAAAACGTCACCTTGTAGTCCTGCTAGTAATGGTTGCCATTTGACTATTAACGCCACTGAATTATTATTAATAGTAGCGGTAATATGCAGGACAACAATTACTTTTACAAATTATAGTTTCACAACTATAATGTGCAAAGCAACAAGTGTTTTAAAACAAAATAAATAAATATCTTTCAATTCATTTTCCTTTATTCATGTGGCTAGGAAAATTCAATATTAATATACAAGGCACTAACAAATTAGGTATGAATAATTTTAGAATCGATCAATGGTAAACACTTTTTATGTGATTTAAAAATATTACTTATTTTATATCGGTTTAAAACACAATTGGTTTAATACGCATATAGAAACTAATGTTAATATGCCATGACATCGACATTCCATTGCATTTAAATAGTGAAGTGGCTGTTAAAAGGTTTCAGCAGATAACATTGAAGAGGTTTTAATCACTAAGCAGTAAAGTAACAGTGTGTTCAGTTGTTAACTTGTTTTCTTCTTTTTTGTTCTCGAACAACCATTTATTTTACTGATTATGATTATAATTTGTTTTATATTTTGTCAGCAGCCTGTTTATAAAAAAATATGCACACAGTATCTACTTCTTTATACTACACAGACTGCTTCTAAAATTTCGTCTGACCACTAAAACTCATATTGGAATGCGTCAAATGCGTGACTTATTGGAAACTGCCTACTCAAATCTTAAACTGACTAATTTAATAACAAATAGTACAGAGTACTAAAAAAACCGACCTGAAAAGTTATTCATCCCCTAGTTTGCGACCTTTAGAGGTGGGATATTTTGTTCAAATTTAAATGGGACCACTTTAGAGGTACCCTCTGTTCAACAAAAAAAGAATTATCAAAATCGGTTCACAAATGCCGGCCGGAGTTATCGCGCATATATATCTACAATATAATAAATACATACATAGGTACACAAAAAACATACAGACGAATTGAGAACCTCCTCCTTTTTTGAAGTCGGTTAAAAATAAACCTTAACCAACAATTAGACATACAAGATGAAGGTCTCTTCAGACATACTGCAGACTTCTAAATTGGTAAAGGGAAAAGTTTTAAAATATTGTAAGGAAAATGAAACGCTTGATGACATCTTGTGAAGTCATGTATTTTTTCTTCTTAACCTAGTATTGTCCCTTATGCCCTTACAATATAATACATTTCTTTTCAATTGATCAAAAAGCGCCTTTTGTTATCAATATTGTATATACTGTATTTCCTTGTCCTACAGGAGAAGGCTATCTCCCAGTGCCGAACGATCCAGCCTCTCTAGCCAACCACATGATGATGATGCAGCAGGCCTACTTGCAATACATGCAGCAGTATGCCAACATGTAAGTTCATCTAAAGAGTGCCAAGTCAAAATGTACAAATTTATCAACAGTTGATCTCCTTGTGAAAGAGTTCATCCAGGGAAGTACGGCCACGTTACCAGTAATGTTAGCATTACTGCGTTACGGTTTTGAAGGGTAAATAAGAGTACTGGTGAAATTACAGGCACATGAGACTTGTCAACTGTCTCAGGGTGATGGGCGCAGTGGCAGTGCTCCTCAGATCTTTGCGATTTAAAGCTCTGAGCGTGAAGCTTACAATCAAGCGCACGACTTGTTCGTCCCGTCACTTGATATTATAAAAAATATGTACTTTAAAATGGTGGCACTAGCATTCTCTTTTGACAGTTCAATAAATAGGATTTTTAGTTTGTGCTTTAAAAAAACATTGCAAACATTAAGTTCTGATTATTGCTATTTGGCAAATTGGTACGTGCAGAGTCTGTATCCGGGATTGAAGATATGTAGTCAGTTTCTTTGTGCCTCACAGGTGGCAAGAGCCAGGTGCGGTTCCAGGGGCCGTGAACGAGCCGCCCGTGCCGCCGGCGGCGGCCGAGCCCCCCGCGCCTCCCGCTGATGACGAGGAAGTGATTCACCGCGACTGGCTGGACCATCTCTACTCGGCCTCTCGCCTCGCCATTTTGTTCTCACTCGTGTACCTGTACGGAAGCCCGGCGCGTTTTTTGCTGGTTTTATTGTTGGCTGCAGCTGGATACCTGTAAGTATAACATATTAAAACCCCTGATTAACGCTTACAGAACTTTGTAGAGACGCTCTGGTGTTAAGCATGGACAGCCTTACATATGCCCACTATAGTCCATTTCGTATAGGATAGGTACTGTGACATCTCAAATCATAGTACTATTTTTAGCTAATCTGTCAACCAGGTTACTAAAAGAAAGTGTTTAATAATAGTTGCAATTTTCTATCTTAGTATTCAAATAGTATACTAAGATAGAAAACGACACGACAAAGATAAAAATTAATTACTCCAACAAGTAGATGCGTAAAACGGAATATTTATCCGTAGAGATTTACACACACCATAGAATCGATAAATCGAATCGGCGTCCACATAAGTGCAATATATCTTGTGTCGTTTTCTTTTGTTTTGAGCTTTGCCTCTTTGAAAATATCCCATTTTGGGAGTAATTGTACAAATTTCGTTTCGTTGCTGTTGATTTTATACTTTGTTGTTGACTTTTCTGTAGTTTTTTTTAGTAATATTGTAATTGAATTCTTTTCATTTTATTTATTGTTTGTCCTTTATTGTCTTTAAATCAATTAATTCTCTTTCCTTTGCAAATTATGTCGATAAGATATGTAAATCGACTTTTTTCATTCGATTTTGCGTCACTACATCTCTAGAAACTTCAAATCTCAAACGTGGCCGTACCATGCTATGTGAAATGAACTATAAGGCTGTCGTTTGAATAAGCAATGTCCAACCTCAAGCTAAGTAAAAACGGTGAATATATTCTGCCATGTAGCTGTTGAGCCGCGTTTGTACCTCGTAAGTCATTGTCGCCCTGCTCCAAGCCAGAAAAAACGATTGAAGCCCAAAAATGCTACAAATCTTAATTCCGTTGACATTGGTTCCAACTTATAATAAGCGATGGTAAGGGTAGATCAATTGCTGGTTGCCGTGATGAAATGCCGAAAGGTCGCTGAATACGCCACCTTAATAATAATAATTAATGGGCCAATTGCAGTCAGCCTCGCTGATAACTTAAGGCGGTTGGGTTTATGCCACGTGGCGCTTCCGATACAAACGCAGAAAGCGGTCCAGCAGCGGTTCTTGAACCTGAAGTGACCCCGGCCGACCGCTTTGATGGCAAATACCCCTTCATCCATTTAAAATTTCAAAATAATAATGATAATAAAAGTGATCTACATCTTGACTAACAGTTGTCATTAGGCGTAGGCAAATTTTTAGGGCAATATATTTTCGGTTTCGAATTTCTCACCTTGAACTATCGCTCGTGTCAAAGTCGCTCTAACCTTGATTTACTTATTTATTTGTCATAAAAAAATTGAAAGTTGTACATGGTCGTATCTTTTTTTATTAAATTGCACTAGAGTACTTTGAAAATATAAACAATACAAAAAATAGAAATAACAAAAAAGAACTTCAAAGTTTTTTCGTTGTTGTTTTTACTTTTTCCTTGCAGAAAGGCTAAGGTCTATAGACTATGCAGTCTAGTCTTGTTTTTATATATTTTCGTTTATTTTACCGCCATTTTTAATTGTAGTTCGTGCACCATTTTTTTTAAATAAGTTTTTACCCATTTATTTGGGAAGGCAAAAGTTGTAGATACCATACAGCCTCTTCATATCTTATCATGCACCATAATTAAATGCAAAATAAATAATAACATTACAATATTTTGTTTATTTCTTCTTTAGTCTGTTTACGTAGCTCTTTGTTGGGAGATATATTTAAAAGTTTAGTGCAGTGGATAGTAATGGATTTTTGCTCATCTATTTTGCAGAGTTGATAATGACATACTTTCTGAGTTCTTTTTTTTAAGTTATCTAACTCATTATTGACTTCTTTTCATACTCTTTTCTATGGTGAAATTCATTAACGTTGTACATGTATATTGTATCCCTATAAAAATATCCATACTAAGATAAAATGTGATTTAAAATATTGCACTGCTATTACAGTACTGTTATAACTCAAAATAGGTGAAATTCAAGATTATACTGTTACTGAACGTAAAATTTGATTCTCTACACGTCAATAAAACTGTCTTTAGAGCATTGTAAGAAACAACTAAAAGATATCTACTTAACTCAAAATGGGACACTCTTTATGTGAGCTAGTTCTGGCCAAAATAGTCCTTATTAAAAAAAATATTTTTTCTCTTTTATGTAAATACGATAATGTTTGTAGTTAGCATTTTAATTATTTAAACTATACCTCTTTCAGATGCTATATTACTTTAATAATATATTTATGCAAGAGGTGTATAAGTTTTGCTCCAAGGAAGAGAAATCTTCCGTAGAAATCAATAAAAGTACTAGAGCTCATTGTGAAAGAGTTCGGCTTCACCTATTTCTGTCGCCAAGCTGTAATGTGAGCATTATTGCGTTCCGATTTTGAAGGGTCAGGGTGCTGATGAAATTACAGGCACATCGGACTTGTCAACTTAAGTACCTATGTCTCAGGGTGACGGGCGCAGTTACTCTCAGATCTTTGGGATTTAAAGCTCTGAGTGGCACTGCAACTGCTATGAAAAAGCGTGCCGTTTTTTTTATAATATCAAGTGACGAGACGAATAAGCAGTGCGCCTGATGGTAAGCTACACACCTGTCCACTTGGTATTACAAAAAAAAACCATGTAAAAATGCGTATGCGAGGTTTTACTATAAGGCGACGTAAAGCAATTTTTTGAGTGTAGCCATAGTGTAACACAGAAATTATTTAGCTAAAAAACCCGGTACATCATACCATTGAAAAGATAATGAAAGTACACTATAATGGGCTAGACAAAACGTTTGGGTTTTGCTATATGAATTTATGATTATTTTGATTTCGTTTTTTTACAGGCACCAAATCGGCTTTTTCCGCGACCTTCAAATGAATCCCCAAGAGAACGCCCGCCCACCACCGCCACCGCGTGCGAACCGTGTAAACAACCGCGACAACATCCCCGACAACCAACAACCAAACCAGGCACCTCGCGAAACCCGCGAAACTATCGACAATAACGTTACAAATAACGTCAACGACAACCAACAGTCGTTATTAGCCGTTACATGGATGATTTTCACTTCGTTCTTTGCGTCGTTAATACCCGACACTAATTAGTGGAATTGCGTTTTTTTTTTTTGTTTAATTTATATCTGTAAAAATTATGTGTTAAACGAATCTTCGCTCAGACTGTAACTGGACTATCGCAAAGCCCGAAGCGGACAAAATTTCTTATTGGTACTATTAAAAAAAAAAACTTCGTATTCTAACGTCAGTCGTAAAAGACACGACAGCGTGACCGGGAGTGTAACGCAGGAGCTATGGATTGCAAAATCCTAAGACAGCAAATCGGTTTATATACGGACAGTTCTAATATAAGGACATTTCATGTTGTATTTCATTCATTTACGTCACACCCTAAAACATGGAATACTGAATCGTACAATGTAAATAACAATTGTAACTTATAAACATTCTTGCTATATGGGACAATGTTATGTCGTGGAAAAATAATCTGGACCTCTGTCATGAGTTAATTGCCGCTGGTAACCGTTTCAGATTGTTGACAATTTTGTATGGCAAATTGCAACTGCGAATATAAGACACATTCCAACGAGAATTGTCTTATATTCAGCTGTATGTATATTATTACGTTGACCGTTTAGTACATCTACCTTTACGCCAGAGCGCACCTTTGTGTGTACGTGCGTAACTTAGTTTCGAGCGGAAAATTGATATTTTTGTCTAAGATTGTCCATGAAAAATGATATGAATTTTTAATGTATCATAATTTTTGTCAATCGCGTATATAATAAAAGTGTAGTTTTTAGCTGCCAATTTTACGGAAATCGCAAAAAGCTTTTATTTTGCTTAACCAACGCCATCTAGTGGCAATTAGATTACATAAAACCGCGACGATAAGCCTTAACAATATTACGAATTGCTAGCGACATTTTTAATATTATCTAAAAAAGAGACGAACTTAAAATAACGAATTTGCCATTGGAATTTTGTACTCGTATTAATAAATCGATCTGAAGTGCCGGAACGCATTTATAATGGAATTATAATACGACCCGAAAGTTAAAAAACATGTGTGCTGTGGTGTAACGGGCTGTTGTCCGCAACTCTTCGTCCAGGCGCCTATTTTGCGTGTTATAAACATGAATTCAGTCCAGTCTGCACGTCTGCAATTAAGGCGTGCATTCGTGATCAACTGCTTGCAGTCGAGACGTCGACTACATGCAGTCAAGGCTTCAACTGCGTGCAGTCGATTGTTCAACTGCAAGCGTCGGCTGCAGTCAATATAAACGATAATCCGAGAATCAAAAGTAGCAGTGACATTCTTAAGGGAATATATGATTTTTGAAACTTTTCACTTTTTTTTTGTAACGCGCCTTTGTTTACATTTTTGATCACAAATTCGGCCTCAGTATTGTTGGGTATTGCGGACGTGAAGTCCTTGATAAATTAAAATTGTGGATTTCGATAGTAATACATTTATTTCCATAATAAAAAGTAAGCTATTAGAATAAAAAATGTTCTGAGTACATTGATAAAGTACAAACAACATCTTTTGAGATCAACAAATACACAGACCTCCTGAAATAGGCGCCGGGCGTTAACAGGTGTAGTACATATCGAATTCGCTCATGCGGACTTCTCTTGTAGCAGCCTAAGCTTTATATTTGAGATCATTTTTAAATCCCTCTCAATCAATACAGTCTCGTTAACTTGAGTGGTGTCATTCAAGATGCCAATAACTATAGACTACTAAAACAAGAGAACATGAAGTGCTTCCGAGATCTTATTTAAATATGCCTTTATTTCAAAAGGTAAGCAAATTACTCTTGAAATCGAAACAATCAATTCTATTAATTCTTTAACTGCATCCGTGGAACGCAAAGGTCCCAGGTTCGATTCCCGGGCTTATAATTGGTGGTTGTCTATATGTGTGCCGATGGCAGTCGCGACACAGGGTTTCCCTAGTGCGGGGCTACGAGTGCTTACGCGCTGTGCGCGCGTTATTCGTATGGTAGATTCCCCTGAGAAGAATAAGTAAGAAAGTTCGGGTATTTCACTGCTATTACAATAGTGTTGTAACTCAAAATAGGTGATTTTCATGATCATACTATTGTTTAACGCAAAATTTGAATACAAGTTTTTGGTGAGCTAGTTCTCAACAAAACAGCCCTTACCCAAAATTATTAAATTATATCCCCCTTTTTTAATATATTTGGCAAATAGGAAATTAAGATCCGGTCGAATCGGTTCGGAACTTTGTTATTAATAATAACAAACTAGTGAAGCAATTTCACAAAAAAAAAAATTGAATATCATGATAGTAAAACATCGTGACATTCAATAAAACTTGAAAAAATGGGGAATTGTAACAAACAATTAATAAACATTAACCTATACGTATGGATGGTATGGCGTAACGGGCTGGTGTCCGCAACTCGACGTGCAGGCGCCTATTTTGCCTGAGTATTATACACATGTATATTTTAATAATCGTTAACGGGAAGTGATTCGTTTTTCAGCGATTTTGAAAAAAGTACACAGTACACAGTTTAGAGATAATACACTATTGTATTAACAGTTCTATGTCATGGATTGATAGAAGCTTCAAGAGCAATTGGGTCACTGCTATGCATTTTTGTCTTTGGTTTTGCACTAATTACTTAGACATAGTTCAATACTTAAAAAGTTGTTTATTAATGCCTTAAAATAATAATGACAATGGTAACATTGATATCAAAGGTACTACGACGACCTCGATTCAAAAGTAACTTGATTGCCTTTGGAAATAATTTTATTCATTAATTTTAATCATCTGTCCACTGGTTGAGGCCCCCTAAAAAATAATCAACTTTCAAAATAGACAAACTTTAATTTTATGATCGGAATTATCATATTTAACCAAAATTGTTATCTGGTAGAGTTAGCGTCAAATTGCCTCAACGTTTGATGACAAAATCAACGAGATATTGCACCTTAAGGGTAATTGATATAGGGTTGTTTTTAAAAAAAAAATTTTGGACATTTTGGTTTATTTTAAACTCTGTCTGTACCATCGTAGACATTATTCCTTATTTTGAGAGCGCTTACACTTCAGACAGTTTCATAGAATCTAAACGATGTGACCGTCATGATATTTCAGTGCGTGCAAAATTATACACAATACTTATATTTAAGATAGGATTACATTACATACATTGTAATGTACCGCTAAAAGGTTTCGATATCGGTGATCATAAATTCAATTCAAATAATTTTTGGGTAACAGACAAAATAGATTAAAAAATATAACGTTGCATGAATTTGATTGAAATATGACAAAACTATATTTGATATGAAACCGATATATTCATTTAATTTCGCACGTTCTTTTTTAATTTATTTTGTCAGTTTCTCAAAAATGTTACCTTTTGAATTTAGTCACTTTATTCTTGATGGTGTGATACATTTTACATTTTTTTTGCATCGGCATGCATTTTGTGCACGCCGAAACGTTTACCACTGTTATCCCTTTCAATTTGTCCCATATATTAATGTTTGATAGGGATGTCATTAAGATGGGCGAAAAAGAAATACTGGAAGCTACGTAGCATATTGTAAATTTCATGTACTGAATATGAAACCAAAAATAGTAAGTTTGTATATTTAAAATAGTCTTTACGTGAATTAGACTTAGTGCGATGAGAAGATTTAATTAAAATTGTCAAAATAATAATTTTAAATTTTATTTTTGTCAATTTCCATTGTTAACTTTCATTTTAAAACTTTATGATAAGAATTTTTGTCATTAGAAATTCTTGTTCAATTTAATATAATTAAGGTAATTAAAAGCTTTTCATTAGCATAAAAAATGACACAATTGTCAAATGTGAAAACGAAATTGAAATTCGTTGACAAATTGGAAATGTTCAGAAGTTTGAATATTATGAATAGTTCGAATACAATACTTGAATGTAATGTCATAAATCGGGATGGCGCCTTAAAAACTTCTATTTATTTTTTAATTAAAAAAAACGAGTACCTTTCATAAATTGTAGCGTTCGGAAAACTCACCTATTATTAATAATTTTGTTAAAAGGAGACGGAGTGTCCATTCACCACTGATTTTAACCATGAATTAGAAAGGAAACTATTTCGGTATAGATGCATTCAACCGTGACCTATAAAAAGCCCGAAACGTTGTTGGTTTCTGTTAAAAAACAAATATACGCGATTTTAAATTATAAAAAAAATTGTTTTATTTCCATTGTACAGAAATCGTGAAATCTAAAAATAACGTAGTCGTTATAGCCTCTTTGCCTAAGAACTCAATATTTTTTGGTGTTAGTTCAGATACCGAACAACGAATTTCAAATTCATTTTCAGCATATTCATGCGAGTTGATTGTAGCAATAAAAAAACAGTCGAATTGTTATGAATTCATTTCTAAATACTAATGGGAGAGAGATTCCACGTGAAATCATATACCTACCGAAAATGATTTTGTGTTTATGTTGATATGGCAGTCTGGCAACAGAGTATTTGAACGTGGACTTTATGTTATCATCCTTTAGCCCCTTGTCATAAAAATAGCCATAAGTCTCAATTCGACAAGGTTTTCCCATTACCTATCAAGATATTTTTCTGCTGATTTGAACGAGAGCGAGTTCATTTACGGGTGGCTAGTATTCTCTCATAGCCGCCATCTTGTTTACCATGTTCCTGAAATTTAAAGAATTAATTTATTCTACTGACATGATAGCAAAATTTAACACTAGCTCCACCAGTTTATAATTTGACAAACACAATATTATACAATTGCTAAAGCTGTACCAGTTTAGCATTGTTCAATATTACCTGATAATTTAGTCAGGTAATATTGAACAATGCTAAATTATCAATTAGCGAACATTGATGCCAAAATCACCACCATGTCATTGTGATTTAGCGAATTAATTGTTCAAATAGCGGTGGCGGACGGTGACAGTAGTTAGTATTAAACATTGCTAAGTTATCAACAATTAACGAACGTTAATGCCGACAGTACAGCGCCACAATTTTACGGTCCCAAAGGAACTTGTGAAATATACACAATTGTGTGCAATAATTGAAACTAGTGTATGTCGTCTACATTGTAGGTAATCCAGTCGCTCAGTTGTCGTTCAAACAGCGATGGTGATCACTGACAGTCGGTAATAAATTGTTACACTGGTACTGTAGTGTGACCGTATTAGTAAGTCTACCCCATGAGTACATTTACTCGTAGTGTAGTTTGTATTGTATGCTTGCTAGTGGTTTTGCTTTATGATAATGTGATATGGTCACACTACTATTAGAGAAGCGCGGCAGTACGGTGTAACTAAAAATTGTTTGCTAAATTGAGTTTTGTCTGCTGCCACACGCCTTTGAGCGAATATTTTTATTTTTTTTCTGTTTTCATATCGATATTTTTTGTTTTGTACATAGTACGCAACTGTATATAGGATATTTTAACACTGTACAGCGACACACTAAGCTGAATTTCCGCGATTGTTCGTTATGCCACTATTTTCGTTATAATTTCTATTATGTAACAGTACCGCTCCGCTGTCAGTGCTATAGACGGCAAATGCCCGTGTGATCACTGGTAACACAAAATTACTGGCAATATATAATGCTAAGAGCGCATTTAAATTAGACGCTTATAGAAGCGCAGCAGTGGCGCAACTGTGACTGGGCAGACGCGCGTTACGTCTTCACTTCATTTATAGTTAGGTACTGCAAAAGTGGCGCGCGCGTCACGATAGCGGCACTGCACTGCGCGTCTATAAGCGTCTAATTGGAAGGCGCGCTAAGATTGCTTATACTATATTAACTTTTGTTTAAAAACAGAGCTGTCATGGCTAGTGACACAAGGATCCGACAAAAAGCTGACTTCCATGGCTAGCATTATAAACACTAAAAATTAACGTCGCACATTCTGTATAGTGTGTAGTTGTAGCAGATTATTTTCACATTAGGAAACATAGTGATTTCATTGCATTTCCGTTGTTATAATGTAAGTTTATTTATTTTTCACTTATGCGACATTCTAATAGAGTGTAAAACAACTTTAAATTTACATAAAAGTATTACTAATAAAATTTCAGTGGCATTGTCAACATTAGTCTTTACAGACCCTTAGGCTCAGTTTACATAACCGCGAACTGTAATGAACTTTTATACACAATTGTCTGTAACGTGCAAACTAGGTAGGATGCTGTAGCAGCAGGAGAATTATCGAGTCTGCGCGGAGAATTCTCCAGAAGGCGCGCGACCTGTTTTTTGTCTCGTACCTTGTTTGTACGTTACACAATTTACCTAAAGTTCATTATGCCATGATTACAAAAATTCGCTTACATTTCATCACAATTGAGCCTTAAAGTGTAAGTTTCATTTATTTTAAAAAGCAATTATAATATCGGGTAAAAAACTCCCGAGAATAGAAAAAGTTTTATCTACCGGCTATTACGCTGCAATATCATTGTGTACGCCAAAGAGGAGTGCGTGATGGAACAGCTCGCGTTTGTAGTGATAACACCAGTGACGTAATATTTTTATAGGAATTTTGACAACTTGCAGATGACAGTATTCGTGCTCATGCTAACGGGTGCCTTCAAATTAGACGCATGTACTAATATCCATACAATATCTAGTCTGCAATAGCGGCGAGCATGGCGCTGCGGCTGCGCCACTGTAGCACTTCTATAAGCGTCTAATTTGAAAGCGCCCTAAGCGTGCTTTGAATCTAAAGTAACTCGACTAAACGAACGAACACACTTTTTTTTGTATTTTGTACATATTTAAAGGCTTGTCTTTAACCTTGTTCGAAGAAAAGCAACGGAACATAATGTGTGGCCTCTTGGAGTTTTACTGCTTCCCGTTTGTAACCAAGTGTTAATTTGATATTAAATTTCAAACTAAGATTACCCGCATTTTGTAAACATAAGTTTGGTTAAATTAGTGATATTATAATTCGTTACTGTGATAAGGGATTTTTTTTGTTTGCACCTCTTTAAAATAAAATTTGGAATGGAATT